ACACACACACACACACACCCCCACCTCCCACCTCGGCCACAGCCCCATCCACCAAGTGACTTCCGGCCAAACAGGACATGGCAGAGACATGTCGTCCTGCCCCCCCTAACCCGGGTTTTACTGGGGGCTGATTCTCCGCAGCTGTCAGAAGGAAACAATAAACACAGATCCAGTTTGGTCCCTGCTTTTCAGCTGCCTATCCCCAGTTTAGTGTTGGGGAGGAGGCTGGAGTGCAAATCTCCGGGCTGCAGGGGCCATTTTAGGATTTGACCCTTACGGGATGCCCTTCACACGTGGGAGTGGGGGGGGGGTACCAAATTTTTCCAAAAATACTGATTGCTAAATGCTTTTACAATATTTATTTTTCAGGTGGCTTAAGGTGGCAAACAGCCCAGCCGTGTGTTCTGTACTTATAAACAGAGTGCGGCCTGCTTACCAGGCGTTTGATCTCACATCTGCCTTGTAGCTTTCAGAAAGAGAACAGGAAGTGAGCTCATGTGTTTTTGGGTGAACGTGTTTCATCCTGTGGATCTGTCCGCCGGGGGAGGGGGGGTAATATCCGTGTCAGTGTGGCAGTTGGGCTGCAGGGGCAAGTGACTCCCGGTACCTCTGGGGACCTGACCGAGGGGACGGGGTCCCTCTCATCAGTTTCCTGTTCTAGAGGAAACTGGGTGAGGAAATAGCTGTGATCTTCCCAGCATGGGGATAGAAACCCAGCCCACTGATAAACATCCACTCACTCAGGATGTCCTTGCCACTCTGTGGAGTTCTCCCAGGACTTGGGGGGGGGGGGCACGTTTGGGGGCCTGTTCAGCGTGAAACTACTTGGCAGATTACGCCATGCACTCTGTGGAATGTGCAGTGGCAGGTTGTAACTCTCGACCAGGCATCTGACCTTTCGGAACTGGCCCAAAGCTGTTCCTGAAATACTCCCATCGCATAAACTATGACATTATGTCCTTAGGCTCAGAAGATACTGAATGGAAGAAACACAGCCTTACTAAGGAGATCTGTACAGTAATGCACCAACTAGCTTAATCTACAGTGGCACATCCTGTAATTACCACGGTAATTGTTGTGAGATTGTCTGCAGTTATAGCAATATTAACTTACAGTTCTGGAAGCTCTTTGAAAATTTCCTTTTTTCATGTCCACACCTAGTGTGTTTGAAACAAAGAGAGGACGCGTGTGTATAGAAAGATGCCGCATGCGTCCGCTGCCGGTGCGGTGTTGTGGTCCAGGTTTCGAAACAGGCCTGAGGTGCAAGATGCTTCCTATCAACGGCATTTCCGCCGTCATTCGATGCGAGTGACGCAGTGGGTTAACGGCAATGCCACTGTGGTCTGGACGACTGCAGCTCCATGCAAACATTGCTCCTACGATTAGCCTCCCCTTGTCCGATAAAACATTCCAGAATGTGAGCATGGTGCAGGAATTACACCCTAACTTGCTGAAACAGCATCGGATGTGCGACTTGCATTGGACAAATAAACAGTCATATTTGCTGGCGCGTGCGTCCACTGACATCTCTGCACACCAGAGGAAGTCAATCTCAACCACACATCCCCACATGCCATTCTGTACCTTTCAAGTGTTTTATCAGACTCTACTCAGGTACCATTCTTACTGGGTTCCCTGCCAATTGCCACAAAAAAATGTACTCGTCCAATCCTGCCCTCATTCCTTATAACATATGACTAAAGCATTTGTCACACGTCAGACTGCTGTAGACAATGTTGTATTAAAATGAAGTCATTTTACATTTCATAGCCAGGATGTGGGATTTTTTTCATACGTCTTGTTCCCACCGTCCATTCAGACCACAGATGCAAACGCTTGCAATTGTGTGACAAATGATGATGGCTTCCCTCAGAAAGCAGTCATGTGAGCTGGGATGGGAATCAGTTAATTAAATCTGCATGGATTTTCATCTGCGGGGGGGGGGGG